GCGTGTTTAATGCCCAGACACATGAGGCAGCGATCGTGACCATCACCTGGCGCCAGGCAACGACCGCATCCAGAAACGAACAGGTGAAACGGCATCTTTAAAAAGACGATCCGTCGTCTTTACACTGAAAGGGAACTAAATAAATAAATAAAAAACACCCAATACGTGTTGCAGTTCTCTTTCTCTCTCTCTCTCTCTCTCTCTCTCTCTCTCTCACAAACGACCCTTACCAAACAAACTCTGCTAAACCAACCGACCGCCCCCACCTCCTCCCACTGAAGTAGATTAAATTCACACTAGTCCTCATTTTAAACGGAAATTGGATTGATGGGGAAAAGATTACAGAGACAGAGGGCAAGGTGGTGACAGCGGGAGAGAGTGGGGAGGGTGGAGCCGGCATTAACAAAGTACCTCCGAAGCTAATAGTGTAAATGTTTTTCTTTTGCCACCTGTAGCGTGTGTGTGTGTGTGTGTGTGTGTGTGTGTGTGTGTTTCCCCTCCTGATCTTTTTCTTTTTTGCCATAGCAGCAAATATCCTGTTGGCGCAGGATGCAGAGTGGTATCTGGCCCTAAAATCGAACAGACTCCTGGACTAGGGCTTCCATTCATCTCTTGCCCATAAAATTTGATTAGCGCTGACTACAGCACTGCAGGGAGATGGGCTGATAGAGCCAGACTACAGAAGATGGCAACAGCATCCCGCATTTTCATCTAGTCTCTCTCTTGCACGTTATATTTTGTCTCTCTTTATATTTCTTTGTAAAGCACTTCCTATTAATAACAGCCCATCTCTCTCTTCGTCCCTCCTCATATCGTCCTCGGTGTGTGCAATCCTTGCGTGTAGGTATCTAAGATCAGTGAGATAGCGTGCATGTCCTCCTTCCGCCCCTCCTTTCTTAGTGTAAACCGTCCTCTAGCTATTAAACAAAAATGACAGCCGTGATGAGGCTGCGACCAGCGTTAACAAAACTAAACAACTGCTGCCCGGCCCAGCCAGTTGGCCTGTCCGGCGGACACGCCCTCTGTTCCCACATATCACTGTGGCATGTGACCACTCCTCTCCACCAATGACAATGTCCTGAGCTCACGAGTGGATACTGTCTGTCTGCGCAGTGACAAGCTAAGAGGACAGGAGGGGGAAAAAAGAGCTAGACAGACTTGAAGCCCGACAACAAGGTGAAGTTCGTCAATTTAACTTGCACACATTGTGTTTTTTGGGGAGAACACTGCCACTTGTTGATTTGTCACGTGATATTTCAAACCATGTGAGAAAAAAAAAGAAATGTATTCATTTGAGAGATAACGACTCAATCGTCCATAAATTACACTGTATATAAACCAATCTGTGCGCCTGACGCGTGTACCACAAGGTCTCTGTAAATTGATTACAGGCATGAACTGGCACTTGAGCGTCACGTTTCTGCAGAAAAAAGTTATTTAAATTCATGTAAGCCTGCATGATTTAAGATTCATTTGCGATATCGATTCTTCCAGGAGCCTGAGATGTCATTTAAAGCATCAGTCATCCAATCTGCTGAGGATTCACGTCAGCATAAGGGATGAATTTATTTGGCTGCTAATTGTCTGCCTTTGGGAGTGTGTGGGTGACACTTGAAAAACTTTTTGGCATATCATCAATGTGATCATGACAGGCAGACCTCACTGCCCCAAATATCTTTCAATATTTCATCACATTTAAAACTTCTGGACAGTTTCATCAAAAGTCACATGCATTACAACGTGTTTCACGTTGCAACATTACACCAACATAATAGAAAGAATGTAAAAAAAAGACTAAATGTTGAATAACATTTCACAGTTATAAACTGTCAAAATGTGCATGTCCCAATATAATAATAATAATAATAATAACAATAATAATAACAACAACAACAGCCATGTAACAGCCATGAAATTGTATTTTTTTTTTAAACAAAGTTTAGCTTATCATTTCTCTCACAGAACTACACTACCATTGAAAAGTTGATCAGTATGTTTTATTTTTGTTTTGTTTTTTTGTTGTTGTTTTTTTTTTTGTTTTTTTTGTTGTTTTTAAATTAAGAAATTAATAATTCATTTAATTTCAAATAAATGCTGTACTTTTTCAACAACAATTTTCAACATTGATAATAATAAGAAATGTTTCTGGAACACCAAATCAGCATATTAAAATGATTTCTGAAGGATCATGTGACACTGAAGACTGGAATAATGGTTGTTAAAAATTTAACTTTATTACAGGAATACATTTATATAATAATAATAATAAATTAATATTTTTCAAAATATATTAAAATAGAAAAGTTGTTTTAAATTTCACAATTTTACTGTTTCTACTGTATATTTTAAATAAATGCAGCCTTGATGAGCATAAGAGATGTCTTTCAAAAAGACAATTTTTAAATAGTAGTGTATGTTCTTACAAACAACAACAATCGGCAAGATTAAGGGACTACAACAGTAAAAAATAAAAATGAAAATAAAAAAGGCCCTCACTGATTATAAATGTGTAATAAAGTGTAAAAAAAAAAAAATCACTAGTTCATTTAAAAGCCCGTTTTTGATTGCATGTGGTGCTCGGCAAGTTTTCATTTTGAAACATGGATACATCTTTATCCAAGCCTGAAAAATGATAGGAACATCTCAGATGAGTTATTTTTTGTAAGGAGTCTCTGTGCAGGTCTTGGCTCACCTGAGTCTCTCGAACGTTTTCCACTGTGAAGTTAAACCACACTCTGAAGCGAGGGTTACACGTGTCAGGCCTGATGAACAGATCAAACTCAAATTCACTGATGTAGTCAACACGGCCCAGGTTACCTACAGAGAGAATAACAAAGAAGTTTTCCAAAGTTAATTTCAGGCCTTGAATCTATTCAGTAGCTCTATGATATGCTTTAATATATGCATACAGAAACACAATATTTCAAAATGTTATTCTTTAGTTTAACCATGCAGACATATATATGTCGACACAGACAGCAGTGACTGGGAGAGATTTCCCTGTAGACTAATAAAATGGACTATAACTCATTTGAGATCCTACTGATATTTGTGTGTTCACAGTATTCCATTTATGTAAAGGTAAATAAAATACTGTGTTGCGGTCTAACCTTTTCTTTCCCCATAGATTTTGACACACATACACATACTCTTACTGGGTGGGATGGAGGAAGTCAGCCGAGACGCTTGGCAGTCGCTCAGGTGACGACTAGACAGCTTTGGTAGCAGATCGCAGAATAACAAGCCTCAACATGGCTGCCGCAAACAAATAAATAATAACAAACCAGAAAAATGCTTTGTTGGTCAAATATTATCCAGCAAATTTCAAATGGCAAGTAATAAAGTTCAGTCTTAAACAAGAATACTAATGGGAACACACGGAATCTCCTCACACCATGTAAAGTAATACAGAGAAATGTTGATAATCTGCAACAATACTTCGCCACAATGCAACACAAATACTGTCTGAATTTTGATGCCTTTATTTCCGTTTTAACATCTTTAGATTCAATGACTGATTTTTTGGAATATCAAAGAAAGGAAAGCTAAAGCTAATTACTAATAAAGTTAATATTGTGGTGTGGTACAGTAGTTAAAGATCTAGGCTGGCAACTGAAGGGTTGTTGATTTAAATCCATTAGCAATTGTGCACCTGAGAAATATACATACAGAACACACAAAATGGCTTGATGTTTTTACATTTAAAGATTAAAAAAATTAAATATAAAACATGCTACTTGTTGGAAGGACCTCATAATAATCCCAGATGGTGCTCTTTGGTTGGGTCTCTGTAATAAACATTAGAAGAAAAGTTCCAAAGTAAAAAAAAAATTAAAAAGCCTTTATTACTGTTTTGGCTGGTCACATTTGGACTAGAAGAAGTGCCTTGGATCATTTCATCTAATGTTTCATTTAGTCCATTTTTTAAAAGTACACTAACATTAAAAAAAACTAACAGACATTAAATAAAAAGCACAACACTCAAATTTAGCTTTCATGAGGATTTTAAACTCATGGTTGAAGGGGGGATTGTTGCTATAATACATAGATAAAAGTATCTGCCAATTGACAACTAACTTACTACAGTGTAATGCTGTAAGGTACTAGTCCAGCAGCCCCATTCTATGGAAATGAGAGTAAAGAGTCAGCTCATAAGGCTGGATGAACAGAAGAAGGAGGGAGGGAGGGGGAGATGCATCTGGTTGCACTGCTCATGCAGCCTGGGTTCAGGGAAAGAAGTGTGGAAGTCACCGCCTGGTGGAAGCTAGCTCAGAGCTAATTACTGACAGATGGAGTGACCACCATTCCGTCACACCGGAGCCCAGCGGAATGTTATCCTTCTGCCAGAACAGAGATAACATAACAAACTCATCGCAAACTCACTCTGCCTGTCCACAAAACCAGGGGGAATGGATTCTCTAAGGATGAAAGTGTGAAGTTCATCCTTTTCAAGTTTTAACTTCCCGATAAAGACAGTTCACAACACAGACAGTTCAGATGATTATAAATAAAGCATGAAAACGTGTCACATTTTTTCCTTTAAATATATAACTTCTTAAAATAATTTATACATTTCTGCTCAGTTTCTGAACGGCTGCCCAATGGTTCTAATGGTCACTGCGTCTTTCTTCCAGTGTATTGGGTACAGATTGATGGTGCTCTCCAGATGAAATGGATATTGGCACTTTAGCTGATTAAAGTCACCTTCTTTTAAACACAAATCTCCTGCAGCAGAAATCCAAGTATGACAGCAGTAGCACACTCGATGGAAAGGCGTTTTTATAGATTATCAGACAACTATTGCAAAGGTCAATGAGTGACCTTTATAAACATATCCGAATGAAATGGAAAGGTCCATGTATAACTCAAACATGACACGTAGCTGAGAAAAATTGAATAACATTTTATGTGTGGATCAACAGATGTGTTTTGTAACATCTTCTGAAAGTGTGTGTGTGCATTAGGGATCGACTGATACAAAAATGTAGGCTTTAGTATGATACCAGCCCCTGTTCCCTCTGCATTAATACTAAAGATTAATTTGAAATTAATGCAACTAATTTTCAACTAATGAAATTAAACTAGAGCTATCAATTAATTCAATAATTAATAAGAATGATTTAAGAGTCATCTCATAATTAATAATGTTGTTAAGTTCTGTCTATGGAAAAAAAATGCTGATTATTAAAAAAATGTCCTTAAGATATCGTAACATTGTCTTTTTGTTTTTTGGTACTATGGTATTATTTTAGTACCAGTATACCGTAGAACTGTGCTGCACATCCACTTTAAAATGAGGCATCTAGATGAATTTAATCAGTTTTATAGTTCAAAACCTCCAGGGCAGCTAAAAACAATTTGTATTGCCATTTCACATTCCCCTTCATATCTTAACGTGAATGATAGACATGAACTTCCAGCAGAAGTGATAGGGCTCCACACCGCAGCTCTCAGCAACTGAGAAGAGTCAAGTCAAACACACTTTACACCAAAAATAACATCTGTTTTACAGCTCTAACATGTATTTTTTATACAACAGCCAACCACACAGAGAAAGAGAGAAAGGATCAGTAGCTAAGCCAGTCACTGGAGGAGAAAGACAGAGGAGAGAATGGGAGATTGGTGGCTGCACCTGTTTCAGACAGATGTGCATGCTAATTCATCATTCATCCATTCCAGCACATTAACCATTTGTGCTACTTTTAGCATCAAATATTGTCCATCGACATGCAGTAACAGTGATCCAGTGATCTGGTCTTAATTGTGAGAGTTTCATTGGATGAGATGAGATTTCTCATAGTTTTCATGTGATTGCAATACAAGCTACAATTAGTAGGAAAACAAGAAGAAATGCTAAAACTTCATAGATGTTTTTAAGTGCTTGTATTACTATACTTGTAAGAGATGACTGTCCATATGTATATGATCAACAAGCCAACATAGACATGAAGTGTTGCAATGTTCTTTTACAATGTTTGTTGCCACAAATACGCAAAGAAAAAAAAAACAGCGAAATAATTGCGTTTTCATAGGAACACTTTTTTTTGTACTACAATTATGCAAAATACAGTGCCAGAAATAAATAGCTCCGGTCATTAAATGTTCTTAATTTACTTGCAATTGGCATTGGTTAATTTTGGAACCTGGCTACATCTCATGTCACAGATAATGAAACCAACAGACTGAGCTGTGGAAAAAAAGCACTTTCGTACAGCAAAGAAAAAAAAACATTTTGCAAGTAATTTGTAATCTACTTTCACAATTACTTAAAAAGTTGACTGTTTTGTGAAAATATAACAGCCTCTAAATAAATAAATAAACAAACAATACTTTCAAACTCATGATTTGAGGTGGGGAAATAATTTCAAGGGGGAACATGCCCGCATTAACTCCCAACCTCCCAAAATTATGCTCACAAGTACAGGTGTACTTTCCTTAAGGATTAAAAATGAGTCATGTACAGACAAACCAAAGAATACACAAACCATTTGAATCTAAATAGCAGATCAAACTGCCTTTCTTTCAGAACCTGACTTTTCAGCACCTAAGACAGCTCCATAGATGGAAGAATGAAGCTGCTTTCCATGGTGCTGACAGATCCACTGCAGTTTGCCTATTCAAATACATTGCTGGGTAACTTTCTAACTCTCAATCATTACTTTATTCAAGCATGCTTTCAACTTTTTTGATACACACAATTTTAATATTAACATAAGCACACAAAAATGCTGATTTAGCAGCAAACTCTGATTAATTTTCCTTCAATCTTCATTTGGTATATAATGTTTCACAGACTTATATTTCCATGAAGAAAAGAAAAACACTCTTCAGGGCTTCAGGGCAACAAGTCTCTGCTCAGCTTGATGGGAGAGGATATGATACACCATTGATTTGAGTTTTAATTGTATGGTGCCTGACTCCAGAGTCAGACCATGATGAGCTGTAATCTACAATGCTTCGGCCAGCCCTGAACAAGCATAAATACTACAGCGGAGGAGAGGTCCGGCCATCACAGCATGGAGGATGAATGCCATTTTGGATGACAGTTCACTGACAACACAGATAATTCAATGTATAACCAGGGGAGGAAAAATCAATGACTGTGTTTTAACGTAGCGTTGTGTGTGTGTGTGTGTGTGTGTGTGTGCGCGCGCACGCAGAAGGACAGAGTGGAAAAGATAGAAAGAAAGAGTAGGAAAAAGATAATGCAAGCAAATTCTCCTATGTTTCAACTGCCTTGAAAATTTCATCTACATATTCCGTCATAAGAGCCTTTTATGATGCAGTGCTTAGAATTTAACAAATTGGGTTTTTTAGCAAATAATGCAACAAGCTCAGCTCAGAGGAGAACTCTATGGAGTTCAATGGGAATAGAGGCAGTGCTGTTTTTATAGCCTGTTTGCTCTCAGCAGAACAACACCGCCGAGCTGCTGGGAGGAGAGACACTTTCTCATTTATAGGGAGTTAATTCCCACTGTTATCAACAAACTGAAATAAACATTCCATATAGAGAAAAGAGTGGGAGGTTGAATCATCTTATCTAGTGGCTTGTGTGTGTTTGAGTTTGAGCGTATATGTAAGTGTGATTGTGTGAGTGTGTGTTTCTCATGTGGTTAACCTTGTTATAGATGTAGAAGAGAAAAGCAAATGGAGAATCCGTATTAATGTAATGTGTTTGCTGTCTGGAGAAGCATGTGGGTGGTCTCCACTCAGCTACCTCTCTCTGTTCCTTCCTTCCAGCTGTTCAATTCAGACACTTATTTCTAAAACATACACTTGGCCTCCACTGGTTCTCAACTGATTTTTCTTTCTAGTTATATTCTTTGGTTTTTATGACTAGCGTTCAACACCTCACAGGGCTTGCAAAATCGCTAGGGGCTATTGTGTTTTCCAGTCGGGCTACCAAAATGTATCACCACTCTGCCCGACGGGCTGTCTTAAATGCAGATCTCCGCCATAAAAAGTTTTAAATACGTTAAATTGTATAAGAAATGTCTTAATTATAATTTCAAGAGCTCTTACATTTGGGGACGGAAAGACAAGAGTCGCGATACGGCTGGATTAAACTTTCCCCACGGTTAGTATTACCGTTAGTATTACCGGTTAGTATTTAAATTTTCATTAAAACCATGTTAGATTACCGCGAT